TAACAAGAAATATAAAGAATAAATATGCTTAATCATACTAAGTTATAGCTCTAAGATCTCATGATCATGTATGAATTTGCCGCTGCTAGCTTCTTCTTTCATTTGATAAGTCATGCGGTTGGATAAAAAGCTCCCATAGCAATGCCACATAGTCCTTCCCTGGCATCAATGTCTCTTTGAATCCTCATGTATCCACTCTCCCCCCATTCTTCTCCCCAAGAATTTTTGATAAGCCAATACTTCTCGTCATCCTCAGTAGTATCATATCCGACTATAGTAACAGCATGGGTTAAGTTTGTACCACATGGTCCAGTGTACACACCACCCGAATAATGTTTGAACTCTTCTGCTTCTGCATCAATATAAACTGAAACTGGCTGGTTGGCAACAGCCAGCAACAAAGCGATTTCGTCGTTTTGAGGCACTTGCTTGTACCCGGTTATAGTTATGGCACCGGAGGCAACATTATTGAAGTCATCCAAGCAAACGCCACCATCTACAGCCTTGTAAGGGTAGCCATCTTCAGTTGACAGGCTCATGTTGCGTTGGATCATGTATTCGAAGGCTTTCTCCACAAAACCACCATGGCAGCCATCATCTTCGAAACTAGTTGTACAATCGATAATCTCTTGTTCTGATAGCGAAATTAAGTTTCCTGTTATAATAGAGTTAAACCCTTCTACGACTGCCACTGTTGCGAAAGCCCAACAACTCCCTTTAACATCATGATATTGAGACAACAAACGTTCATAATTAAGCCATGATTGGATAGAGAAACAAGTAATGTATTTATATAAATAAATAAATAAAACTTAACATTAACAATTGCTTAAATGCATGATTCAACATAATAGTTAAATGACATAATGATTTTATATTATCAGATGTCCGAAAAGAAAGTATTAGACCATATAGATTAATCTTGCATGCTTACCACAATCATATCCTTGGTCCTTGACCGGGGTTACAGCACTTGTAGTCCAATCCCAGGAAAGTGGCACCACGGTTACATTTGCATATTTGAAAAATGTATTTGGACTTACTTTCATGGAGTTGGAGGTGATCACTTCTTTGGAGAGATGCTGCCTCACATTATATCCATTGCGCATTGCTCGAAGTTCCTCCTTCTTGAGATCCGCAAACTTATTGATGCTTAGTGTGTACTTCCTTCGGCCCTTGTTCTTGTTAAAAGCTTCTACAAATTCCACACTGGACTTGAAAATGTCGTAGCGCAGCTCCTTCTCCTGTGCATCCTTATACACTCGTCCATGTTTAGCCATCCACTCCTCAAACCTCTGGAGCATGATTTTGTCTTCACCATAAAGTTGGCGACTACAAGATGCTTGAGAGGAGCAGAAGGCCAAAATGAGCACAAGAAAAAAGGCCAAACAGATGGATTGGCCTTGGTTTGTGATGAGCAGAGCCATGATTAAGTGGTAAACACCTACTCAGAGTCGAGAGGTACCTTAGTGTGTGTACTGATAACTTGCAAAATGGTCATGGGATTTTATACACGAAGACTTGTACGCGTGTAATAACTCCCAATATTAATCTATTTAATATCAAAAACACAGGTCCAGTAAAAGATAAAATTTCAAAACCTGGTATTGCAATCTTCTTATTTAATTTCAAATCCTTTTAAGGATATAAACAAATTAAATGGTAACCTTCGTCAAGGCCCAAAACTAATCTTTCCGATTTTGGTCTAACACTTTCTAAAACGTATATTTCATAGGTCAATGCTCAATGGGCTTAATTATACAAAAACGTGTGTTTTTACTTCAAAGAAATGCTTGAACAGAACACGATATTTCTTCATCATCTAGTTCCTTCCTCCGATCTCTCCCTCCCTTGTTGGGACACGTTTGCATTACTTGTAGGAAGAACGTTTTTGTTTTTGTTTTGAGGAAGAACATTGAAGAGCCAATCAGGCTCCAAAAACCCACAGGTTCCTCTAATCGTTGCAACAGTCCCGCCCCATGATCTTCCATTTTTATATTTCAGCCATCAAAATATGAACAAGAGATGTAAAAATCATATATTGCAAATGCAGTTTAGACGCAGTGAGCTCACCCCTTTGTACCCAAGTTCGAGTCTTCCTTTCTGTATATTATATTACTTTATAATAGTTTAGACCATCACTTGTATCAAGATAAAAACTATATATACTATGATTTTACAAGTTCATTTCAAATTGAAAAGATTAAACTTTGTTTAGTGAGGTTCTCGGTAAATCGAATTTCAATTTTTTATACACATAATTACAACCATCAATATTTCAATTAAAGAGAAATTTGAACAAACCCTCAAAATGTCAAACCCAAAATCTTCCACTTGTGCCCTGCCTGGCATGTCCATATCCAAACCCGGCCCAACCGCTGCCCATGATGCCGCAATCCTGGTTTGAAATTACTGAAACTTTAGTTGCCTCCCTTGTCTTGCAGTTCTGCTGAGAGGGAAAAGAATGCAAAACCACGGCAAGATATGCTTCTTGCGGAACCCGAACTCCCTCGATTGGGAAGGCAAGAAATTTATATAACACTTATTTTTATTAAACTTCCATATAGTGCATTGACTAGATATGAGTGATTTATAAATTTTTTGCTTAAAATTTTGCAGGATAATAAGAAGTCGCTGAGTGGGCTAGAGATGCATAACATACTATTCTTAGCCGAGGGTGCGATTGATCAACTGTGGATCCTCAAGCTGAAACTCACCTCTATTAACAATCAAGCAGAATCACAACTTGGATAGAGTTGTCAACTGAAGATCTTAGAAATCTGTAGGAATCTTTGACCACAGCGTGCTGCAAAATAATGGTACCATAAAACAATATTGGCATTGACGAGGGATCTTGCATCCAAAGAATAATTCGAGAGACATCATTTGTCTGGACTGGACATATAAGAAACATCCTTCATAAGAAGTCCATCAATAGTCAAATATTCAAGTGCAGAACAGTTTGTATAAAGCTTTTCCGTTAAGCTCTTACCAGGACAATGAACTCCAACATCGAGGGATTTGAGATTTGGGAAACACCTTGAAGCCGGAGGAGAGTAAGTTTCAAAACCCCGAGTGTTTTGCACCTAAAACGCTTCTATGAAACAAAAAAAGTAGTCTTCTTCATCATTAAAGTCCATACGTTGTTCCCGGCATAGTATTGAATTAAAATAAAATATATTAAAAAAATTTAAATCTATAAAGTATATATATCTATAGAAGGATCCTTTTTTTATTATTTTTTTTAAAAAATAAATAGTATAGCTGCACGGCTACACGCCTTTTAAATGTAATATATTTAAAGCGTATAGCCGGTGGGCTATAAAATCGTACAGCCGCGCGGCTATACAATTTTGACACGTGCTAGGTGGATCACTTTTTAACAAATAGTATAGCCGCACGGCTCTACATGGGATTTTTGTTGTGGAAAAAGAGTATAGCTGTGCGGTTTTTTTAATTTTTTTTAAAATTTTTTATAAATAATATATATGCTCTTTACATCGAGATTGTGATCTTTAAAAAAAATAATTTATTTTTCCCCGATTTTGCATCCAAAGAATAATTCAAGAAACATCCTTCAGTAAGCCCTTGCAGCTGCAGCCCCTTCCAAGAATTGTTCAACATAAGCAACTTCTGAATTTTCATCTTCTCTTAACTGTAAGTCAGGCTCAAATGGTTGAGTCACCCATTCAATTGGGAGGCTCAACTTCTTATCATGTGCTTCATTCAATTGGGAGGCTCAAATGGTGGGACATCACAAAGTCAACCTGGACCCTATTTTCCTCCTACTATTTTCCCCGAGTGTTTTGCACCTAAAAATGTTTCTATGAAACAAAAAAAGTAGTCCCCTACACCATTGAAGTCCATACGTTCTTCCCGGCAGAGTATTGAATAAAAACAAAATATATTAAAAATTTAAATCTATAAAGTATATATATCTAAACTAGCAAGTTAATAGTATATTCTAATACAAATAGAAGGATCCTTTTTTAAAAAAATTGTTTTTTAATAAATAGTATAGCCGAGCGGCTAAAACTCTCATAACAATGGTATAGCCCGTGCGGCTATACTTTGTTGACACGTGGCGAAGAATCGCTAATCGAACGACAGGCGCTAGGCGGGTCTTTAATTTTTTAAAGAGTACAGCCGAGCGGCTAGACTCGGGATTTTTTGGGTTAAAAAACAGTATAGCCGATCGGCTATACGGGGGTCCTTTATTTTTTTTTTGTTCCTTTTTTGGTAAATAGTATAGCCGCCGGGGTATACGCTTGACATAGATACTATGATCTTTTTTTTAAAATTTGTTTTTCCCCGATTTTGCATCCAAAGAATAATTCGAGAGACATCATATCTGGACATATAAGAAACATCCTTCATAAGAAGTCCATCCATAGTCAAATATTTAAGTGCAGGACAGTTTTTTTTAATGTAAAAAGATAAAATTTGGAAGCTTGGTATTCCAATCTTCTTATTTAATTTCTCATCCTTCTTTTTATGGAAATAAATAAATTAAATGGCAATCCACCGTCAATGCCCAATTTTTGGTCTTTCCGATATATTGGTCCAAATCTTTGACGTATATTTCAAGGATCCTTCCCTTCTTGTTGGACTCGGTTTTCACCTGATCATGTAATATATCAGATGGCCAGTCTATCAAGCTCAATTTGATCCTTATGGTTGAATTTTCAAATTATCTAAAATCATATCTTCATCTAAGAGAAATATATAACAAATCAATGATTTAGTTTATTCTCCTTGGCATAATTATCTGCAACAAAATACACCCGGGATATATGCTCATTTATCTCAATCTGCCTTACATGTCAAGTCCTGATTAGTCCACAAAATAATTACCCAAATAATTCGGAACCTGAACTTGGGTTACAAGAACTTCAACCACTATAAATACACCCCAAATAATTAGTTGCTCCCTCACTTGCAGCCTTTGGTTTTTCTCTTACTGCGCATCATTAATTAGAAACCCTAGTTAAGAAATAAGTATGGGTGGCTATCAAGTTCCAGTTGGGTACAGGTTCACGCCTTCAGAAGAAGAACTACTTCTTCACTACCTTCTCCCCAGAGTGAATGGAAACGACTATCCTAAAGGTGTTGTTCCTGACTGCGATCTCTACGGTACAAAGGAACCATGGGACATATGGAGAGATTTCCACCACTCATCCGCAGATGATCAAGAAGACATCTACGTCTTCACCACACTCAAGAAGAAGACTCCAAATGGCTCGCGGTTTTGCAGAACAGTTGGCGCCGCCGGTACCGGAGGTTGGAAAGGAGAAGACTCCGGCAAGAAAATACGTGCTTGTGGGAATGATATTGGCATCAGAAAGCGATTTCGGTACATGAACCCTGGTTCGCCCCACGATGACCGTTGGATCATGCTTGAGTTCCAGCTTCATGAATCTCTCGTGCAAGTGCCAAACAAAGAGACAATTGTTCTTTGTCTTGTTAGAAAGAAAGAAACATCGGGCAAAAGCAAATTAGAAGAACGAAAAAATCATGAAGTTGACATGGCTTCCCGTGGAGAAATCCAGGCCCAGCATGTGCATGATGATCAGCAGCAACATATTGACGCAAGTACTTATGATCAACTTAGGTTTTTGGATGATTACCTTATGAACGATGTCGGGGGTGAACAAAACACCATGGTGAATCCAACTTTGCTTGCACAGTACGATCAGCAGGACATGATTGGCACAAGTACTGAAGATCAACTTAGGGTTTTCGAGGATTTCCTTATGAACGATGTCGAGGGTGAACAGGACACCATGGTTAATCCAACTTTGCTTGCACAGTACGATCAACAGGACATGATTGGCACAAGTACTGAAGATCAACTTAGGGTTCTCGAGGATTTCCTTATGAACGATGTCGAGGGTGAAGAGGACACTGTGGTTAATCCAGCTTTGCTTGCACAGTACGGTCAGCAGGGCACAAGTATTGAAGATCAACTTAGGCTTTTCGAGGATTACCTTATGAGCGATATCGAGGGTTAATCCAATTTTGCTTGCACAGTATGAGCAAAATTAATTCCTCTTTTTGTAATTTCAATGTTCTTAATACAACACTATAAGTATATATAGATATGTAGCTTGCTTAGTGCATTTGTTGATCTGCAGGCTTAGTCAAAAAGGTTCCAAATTTAATACACAAAAGGATTTATTGGAGTACTTTCGTGTAATAACTATTTATATGGCGAAGAATTTCATAAGTTGTATATACGAACAAAATAATAAAACATATACACTACTTAAAGACATGGATATTCAATACTGCTTTATTTAAGACAAAGTTGCGCAAGGAAGTGAAAATATTGTGAAGTAAATAGTAGGAGAAAACCACAAGCGTTTCAAACAACAGTTAGCTAGCGTTGTCAGTTCTTTTACGATTTCAACCCTGTGAAGTATAAGATTGGAGCTACCAAAAATAAAGTGCAGAAATCTAGACTTGTGTTTTTACTTCAAAGAAATGCTTGAACAGAACACAATATTTCTTCATCATCTCTAGTTCCTTCCTCCTCTCCCTCCCTTGTTGGGACACGTTTGCATTATTTGTAGGAAGAACTTTTTTGTTTTTGTTTTGAGGAAGAACATTGAAGTGCCAATCAGGCTCCAAAAACCCACAGGTTCCTCTAATCGTTGCAACCGTCCCGGCCCATGATCTTCCATTTTTATGCACATCATTTCAGCCATCAAAATATGAACAAGTGATATAAAAATTATATATTGCAAACCCGGTTTAGACGCAGTGAGCTCACACCCCCCTCCCCGTATATTATATTAATTTATAGTAGTTTAGACCATCACTTGTATCAAGATAAAAACTATATATACTATGGTTTTACAAGTTCATTTCAAATTGAAAAGATTAAACTTTGTTTAGTGATAAAGCAATCATTATTCATTGATAAAATCAACACTTTACAACCAACACGAAATAAAAAAGAATAAAAATAAGCTATAGCTCCAAGGTCTAATGGTCATGAATTAATTAGCAGCTGCTAGCTACTTTTATTTGATATGTCAAGCGGTTGGATAATAAGCTCCCATAGCAATGCCACATAGTCCTTCTCGAGCGTCAATGTCTCTTTGAATCCTCATGTATCCACTCTCCCCCCATTGTTCTCCCCAAGAATTTTTGACCAACCAATACTTAGTCCCATCATCCTGAGTAGTATCATATCCAACTATAGTAACAGCATGGGTTAAGTTTGTACCACATGGTCCAGTGTACACACCACTCGAATAATGTTTGAACTCTTCTGCTTCTGCATCAATATAAACTGAAACTGGCTGGTTTGCAACAGCTTGCAATAGAGCACTTTCGTTGTTTTGAGGTACTTGCTCATACCCAGTTATGGTTATAGCATCGAAGGAAGCATTCAAGTCAACCATACAAACGCCACCATCTACAGCCTTGTAAGGGTAGCCATATTCAGTTGATAGGCTTCTGTTGTTTTGGATCATGAATTCGAGGGCTTTGTCCACATAACCACCACGGCAGCCATCAACTTCAGTACTAGTTCCACAATCGATAACCTCTTGTTCTGATAGCGAAATTAAGTTTCCTGTTTTGAGATAGTTAAGGCCTTCTACGGTTGCCACTGCTGCAAACGCCCAACAACTCCCTATAACATCATGATATTTAGACAAAATCATCATTGAATAGAGAAATAAGTAATGTAATGCTAAGCAAAATATTCATTGTATTGAAAGTTGCCCAAACATAGCATCCAACTTCACAATTTGAAGAAGACATAATGATCTTATATTGTTAGATTGTCTGTCAAAAAAGTATTACAATGCATAGATTAAATTATAAACATGCATGCTTACCACAATCATATCCTTGCTCCTTGACTGGGGTTACGGCACTTGTAGTCCAATCACAGGAGGGTGGCACCTCGGTTACATTTTCATATCTGAAAAAAGTGTTTGGACTTACTTTCACGGAGTTGGAGGTGGTTTTGGAGAGATGTTGCCTCACATTGTAGCCATTACGCATTGCTCGAAGTTCCTCATTGGTGTGATCCGCAAGCTTATTGATGCTTAGGGTGTACTTTCTTTGGTCCTTGTTCTTGTTAAAAGCTTCAATGAATTCCACATTGGACTTGAATATGTTGTAGCGCAGCTCCTTCTCTTGTGCATCCTTATAAACTTGTCCATTTTGAGCCATCCACTCCTCAAACCTCTGGAGCATGATTTTGCCTTCACTATAAAGTTGGCGACTACAAGATGCTTGAGAGGAGCAGAAGGCTAAAATGAACACAAGAAAAAAAGCCAAGCAGATGGATTGGCCTTGGTTTGTGATGAGCAGAGCCATGAGTAATTGGTAAACTCGTACTTAGAGTCTAGAGGGATATCTTAGTGTGTAGTAATGAAAATAGAATATGATTGGCACAAGGCATGCAATATGGGATGGGATTTTATACACTAACTTGTACATGTTGACCAACCTTTCTACGCGTGTAATAACTCCCCAAATTAATATTTTTAATGTCCAGTAAAAGAAAAAATTTCAAACCTGGTATATTAATTTCAGATCCTTCCTTTTAAGGAAATAAATCAATTAAATGGTAATCCTTGGTCCAACTCTTTCTTAAACGTAAATTTCATAGGTCAATGGGCTTAATTATATAAAAACGCGTCTCTTCCCTTTATATAGGTTATAATAGTTTCTTGAATTCTATGTTAAAATGCCTAAATGCTAATAGCCATTGGATTAAATCTGTAACCAATGTATATAGACCCCACTCTAATCAACTTCAATTTGGGTCCTAGGGTTTGTTTTTTTCTTTTTTTGCATAAAAGAAATATTTACATCGGCAGGAAGAAATTTTTTTGTTTTTGTTTTGAGGAAGAACATTAAAAAAACCCACAGGTTCCTCTAATCGTTGCCACAAATAGAGAAGCAACCGTCCGGGCCCATAATCTTCCATTTTTATACGCATCATTTCAGCCATCAAAATATGAACGAGTCATATAAAAATTATATATGGCATATTGCATATATATCGCAAACGTGGATTATATGCGCAGTGAGCTCACCCCTTTGTACTCAAGGTCGTGTCCCTTTCCCTGTATATTAGATTGATTTATAGTATAGTTTAGATCATCACTTGTATCAGGATGAAAATTATATATAAAGTATGGTTTTACAAATTATACATGAAGTTTGCTTTAACAATGGTTTTTGAAATTGACCAAGTTCCATTCCTACCTGTCTGCATGTCCATATCCACCGAAGCATGCACCCAGCACTGCTATTCTGACCCTTCATGATTTTAGGTTAAAAGTAGTAATAGAGTAAAAACACAACGAAAATAATCTCTTTTCGCCATTAAAAACAGTAGGCGTTCGTTCTGGAAATAAGAATTCCAATTGGATTAGGGTTTTCCAGTTGGATTTGTGCCATCTATATATCTATATGATATCCTTATGACTAAATTAATTTTCAAATAATTTAAAATTGTATCTTTAATTATCAAAACACAACTAATTCGTATTAAAGAGATAACTACATAAAATAATAGTCCATAAAAATGCAAATAAAAATTAAAAACAAAAAGAAAGTAAGAGTTCATGTTCACCAAAAATTCTGTATGGATAAGGATAAAATAAAAGTTTCGGAACAAAAAGCCGTTGTTGTCGTTCCTTACTTTAAGTAGCAAAGCAACAAAACAAAATAAAAACATTATAATTTGTCCAATGATAAACAACACAAAAGGGTAATTAAGACCATAATTTCTGTAGTTCTTTATTATCAAGGATTTAGGTTATTCTCCTTGGCATAATCATCTGCAACAAAATACACCCGGTATATATGCTTATTTATCTCAATCCACCTTACATGTCAAGCCCTGATTTGTCCATAAAATAATTACCCAAATAATTCGGAACCTGAACTTGGGTTACAAGAAATTCAACCACTATAAATACACCCCAAATAATTAGTTGCTCTCTCACTTGCAGCATTTGGTTTTTCTCTTACTGCGCATCATTAATTAGAAACCCTAGTTAAGAATTAAGTATGGGTGGCTATCAAGTTCCAGTTGGGTACAGGTTCAGGCCTTCAGAAGAAGAACTACTTCTTCACTATCTTTTCCCCAGAGTGAATGGAAACGACTATCCTAAAGGTGTTGTTCTTGACTGCGATCTCTACGGTACAAAAGAACCATGGACGATATGGAGAGATTTCCACCACTCATCACCAGATGATCAAGAAGACATCTACGTCTTCACCACACTCAAGAAGAAGACTCCAAATGGCTCTCGGTTTTGCAGAACAGTTGGCACCGCCGGTACCGGAGTTTGGAAAGGAGAAGACTCCGGCAAGATAATACGTGCTCGTGGGAGTGATATTGGCATCAGAAAACGATTTCGGTACATGAACCCTGGCTCGCCCCATGATGACCGTTGGATCATGCTTGAGTTCCAGCTTGATGAATCTCTCGTGCGAGTGCGAAACAAAGAGACAATTGTTCTTTGTCTTGTTAGAAAGAAAGAAACATCGGGCAAAAGCAAATTAGAAGAACGAAAAAATCATGAAGTAGACATGCCTTCCCGTGGAGAAATCCAAGCCCAGCATGTGCATGATGATCAGCAGCAGCATATTGACGCAAGTACTCATGATCAACTTAGGGTTTTGGACCTTATGAACGATATCGAGGGTGAACAGGACACCATGGTTAATCCAACTTTGCTTGCACAGTACGGTCAGCAGGGCACAAGTACTGAAGATCAACTTAGGTTTCTCGAGGATTACCTGATGAACGATATCGAGGGTTAATCTCTTGCACACTACGAGCAAAATTATTTCCTTTTGTGTAATTCCTCTTTGTTCATAATCATAATACAACACTATTAGAACTAAGAAGTGCGAGTATATATATGTGTTTAGCTTGATTGCATGCGGGCTTGGTCAAAACCGTTCCAAATTTTAAATATAAAACGATTTATTGAAGTACTTTGGTGTAAGAGCTATTATGGTGAAGAATTCCTAATTTGTATATAGGAACAAAATAATAAAATATATGCATATAGACTACTTAAAGACATGGATATTCAAATGTGTTTTATTCAGGAAAGGATGTGTGAAAATATTGTGAAGATAAATACTAGGTAAGATCTATTGAGATGGCATTGAAACCAAGCAACGGTACTGAGAAGCACAAGAGCGTTTCAAACAACAGTTAGCGTCGTCCCATCTCTCTAAGACTGCAACGCCATGAAGTATACGATTGGAGAAACCAAAATAAAGTGCCAAAAAGTAGAATATCATGGAAGTCATACAGAGGATTGTGTCATCTCTCAATTGAAGCCATTTGTTATTATTATTATTTTTTTTTCTGCTTGTAATGAACGGATAAAAAAGTCCAATCCCATAAAAATATAGAAATAAAAATTTGTGTTGGACATGCGTGCCACATGCTGTTACTAATCCACATGTAATAATGCGGATGGAATGGATTTACAATTTTAAGATATGGAATTAATAAGTACATGTTTAAAAATGAACAGTGAAGCTATCAGTTATATAATACAATATAAACATATATGTAAATCATTATTCATTGATAAAACCAGTACTTAACAACCAACAAGAAACAAAAAGAATAAAAATAAGCTTAATCATACTAAGCTATAGCTCCAAGATCTCATGATCATGAATTATCAGCTGCTATACTTGTTTTATTTGATATGTCACGCGGTTGGATTATAAGATCCCATAACAATGCCACATATTACTTCTTTTATTTGATATGTCATGCGGTTGGATAATAATAAGATCCCATAGCAATGCCACATAGTCCTTCATCAGCATCAATGTCTCTTTGAATCCTCATGTATCCACTCAAATTCTGAATGAATGCCCAAGTGGATGCAGAATTGGGAAAATCCATCTGAATTGTGGCTCTTTTCATTCTGAGAGACTCATACGTCCTCAAATATTGATGCCCTTGGGCAACAATGAGTGCCTTGTTAATAATGGGATCCCCATTGCCACTGGTGCAACTGTCTCTTTTGAATATGCCTCACCAAACCAGTTCCCTTTTTCTGTTTCCTCACTATTGTGCTCAGTTTAATGAACGCTTTTGGTATCTGGTGTCAGTGATTAATAATGCTACTAGTTTAGATGCTATGTAATGCTAGCATTAATCTGCCTATCAAATTGAGATATAATCCAATATATTTCTTACTTGGCCATGGTTTACATTTGGGATATCTTAAGTTCGAGTTTCCTCTTGATTGGGTTATGAGATGTTTGGATGAAGACAACACCAGCCTTTATGTTTATGTACCTAATAAAGCTAACCTAATTCATCCAAGGTACCTAAAATATTGCCGAATAAAGTATGTATGTATTTTATTCATATTTTTTCCGTTCCGTATTTTACTAATTATGAAAGAATGTGAGAGGTTAAGATAATTTCTTACTTATTGTAACAAAAATGCAAGATGGTGATTTTGCAATCTCTTTGCCAACCAGAACAACAATATCAAACAAAGATTCATGGGTATAGTAGTAAGCGAGGTGGTAGTATTCTTCATGTAAAGTGTTGTTTGAAATGTAAGCAATTACCAAGAACACTCCAACTCAACATGCAATTCTCTACAATAAATAATGTGTGCAATAATAGAATTTAGTAGCACTCGAGAGAACAAGATAGACCAAAGGCAAACATTCCCACAAAAAAAAAAATTTAACTCTCAAATTGATTTGTGAAATTTCTCTCTTTTCAACATCTGCTTTGGAGATGTCGAAACTAGCAAATTAATAACTATAAAGTATAAACTGATGCAACTAAAAGGGACTTTTGTTTTAATTTCTAATAGCTAGTCTAGCCGCGCAGCTATACTCCATTTAAATATAATATACTTAAAGAGTGTAGCCGCCCGGCTATACCTAGGCGAGTCCACTGTGTTTTTTTTAAACAGTATAGCCGCCCGGCTACATACTACGGTTTTTTTATACAACTAGTATAACCGGACGGCTATACTATTTCTACATCCGCTATGCGGGTAGTATAGCCGAATGGCTATACACGTGATTTTTTTTTAAAAAAGAAGACTATATAGCCGGGCGGCTGTACTGGGGTCTTTTTTAATTTATATATATAAATAGTATAGCCGATACTGTGATCTTTAAATAAATAAAAAATGGGTTTTCCCCCTTTTTTTTAATCCATAGTTTAGAGCATTACCCGAATTTCTATTGTCCACTTTTGATTTTTACTTTTTCAGAGTTATTAGACGTATACTCATAATATACACATATGTATGTAATTTTCATGTTTAATACACTTGGTTTTTTTACCAATTTTTCAGTAATACACACAAAATTCACGTATTATATACATAATTTTCGCATATTATTGAATAAAAATAATATATTTTATAAAATTTAAATCTATAAAGTATATATATCGAAACTAGCAAATTAATATCTATAAAGTATAAACTAATGCAACTAGAAGGTCCTTTTTTTATAATTTTTTTTAATAAATAGTATAGCCGCGCGGCTATATCCTTCTAAAGCCGGGCTATTTTTTATTATTAAAAAATAGTGTTGCCGCATGGCTATACGCATTTTGCAACATACTAGGCCCTTGGTGGGTCCTCTTATTTTTTTTTGTTTTATAAACAGTATAGCCGCCCGGCTATACGTGGGATTTTTTTATAAAAGAAGAGTATAGCCGGGCGGCTGTACGGGATAAATAGTATAGTACAACGGCTATATTCTTGACATAGATACTGTGATCTTTTTATTAAAAAAAATAAAATTGGGGAAAATAGTTTAGAGCATACCCATTACTATTAGGCCACCATTATCCCCTCTTGAGTTTTTACTTTTCCAGAGTTATTACTCTTATAAAGAATTTAGCATTTTCATGTTTAATACTCGTATTGTACACATATACAATCATTTTTCATGTTTAATACACCTGGTTTTTTACAAAATTTTCAATAATACACACAAAATTCACGTATTAATGGTTTTTTTTTTCTCCACACATTCTCTATATGTATTTATATTTACTTTAACCTTAAAATTTGTATGTTTTTTTTTATATGGGTAATATTCTCATATAACATGTCAGATATCTGGCAAGAGAACGTTACTCTTATTTCACATGTTTATTAATCTCGAATTTGTGATATTTGACCAAAGAACGTTACTCTTATTCCGCATGTTTGTTAATCTCGAACTTGTGGTGACATTGTAGGAAGGATCGTGCCTGATGCCAACGTGGCGGAGTGTTCGAAACAGTACCTTGAGGTGATACAAGTCCCCACAACCAAGCTCCCTTTAGGAAGCCAAGTTTTCCAGGTTCAAATTCTGAATGAGTGCCCAAGTGGATTCAGAATTGGGCAAATCCATCTGAGTTGGATGAAAGCAAGGCCAGCTTAATGTTTATGTACCTAATAAAGCTAACCTAATTCATCCAAGGTACCCAAAATGAATTTTATGAGTCCATTAAGTTGGATGACCTTGACTTACAGACCTATGGTCACATATTCGAATTCTCATAGCACCTTAACAATGTGGGTGAGAGAAACCCTCTAGGCCTCCTTCCTAACTTTGGCAAAAAAAAGAAAAGAGTATTTTAATCCATTTGTCCAAATCTGTGGGGTCCATGACCATGAATGAAATCAAGCCCGTTGCCTTCACAGTTCACACTTCACGGCTGTATTTTCAATTCTCATCCCAAAAAGGGAAGTCCTGTTTTGGTGTGTGAATTTTGAGAACCGACATAAATGGCAAAAGACAGGTGGTGTAGAAATATATGGTCACAGCTTGAATTTCACATGATGCATACGCACTACTTGACACTCATTTGATTTTCTTTCCGCAACCAAAGCAAAAAGAAATGTGAAGGCTATAAAATTAAAGTATCGAGTATGTTCTTTCTGGTTGCAGCCTTTAAGTAAAATGTGAATTCATTAGAGAGACAAAAAGCACTTGGCCGCCTTTCCTTTCCACTGTAAAGCACTTACAAATATGTGTCAAATTTTCAATGATCCAACAGCACTTGTTTCTGTTTGATTAGAAAGTTGCTTTATAGCCTTGTATTGATATTATAAAGTGTTGATGCTCATCTTAGACTTTTTAGTTCTTTCATGCTCTTTAGACTTTGTCCTCTACCACTTGCACATGAACATATATCAATAAACTTTGGTTTCAGACAAAGCAAACTTCTGCTAAACAATTTCTCCAAATTATTTCCTTGGTGTAGTTTCTTTGTGAAAGAAAACTACCCCCTACCAAGCTGAAAGTGCCCGAAATTCCCTCGTTGATTTGTAGAGAATAGAAAATGGGAAAGACTTGGGTTCTAGCATTCTACATAACCATATGCTGCATTGCTTTTGTGATATCAAAGATTGTTATTTCAGTCCTCATCTATAGGCGATGGAAGAGAAAGAAGTTGGTTTTTGAAGATGGCGTCTCTGGTATATGATTGAGATTTTGCATGTAAAGTATTTTGCTTGTTGAAAAGGGAAGAGAAGTACGCTAATTAATGTATTGTACATGTGCAGGTGGGAAAATGGTTTTGTTTAGGGCTTCTGCAATGCAATCTCTCAAATCAGATACATTCTTAAAGAAGACACTCAAGTTGAGCAACAAGGACATCATTGGCTCTGGAGGCTATGGGACAGTTTATAAACTGACAATAAATGAGTCCATAACCTTTGCTGTGAAAAGATTGAACAGAGGAAGTGCAGATAGAGATCGAGGCTTCGAGAGAGAGTTAGAAGCGATGGGGGACATAAAGCACCGCAACATTGTGACCCTTCATGGATATTACACTGCTCCAAACTACAATCTTCTTATATATGAATTGATGCCTAATGGAAGTTTGGATGCAGTTCTACAAGGTATGATATATCAAATTTAGTTAAGCCAAGGTTTTTAGTCTTGAGTTCTGAATTGATTATTTTAAAAATAACTATATAGTGAAGCAAAGTCCATGGTTTTAACTTTTATGTTGTCTGATCATCTGGTAAATTTTTATGCAGGAAGATCAATGGAGAAGAAGCTTTTGGATTGGCCTTCCAGATACAAAATAGCACTAGGTACTGCAAGAGGAATATCATACCTTCATCATGATTGCATCCCTCACATAATCCATAGAGATATTAAATCAAGCAACATATTGTTGGATCAAAACATGGAGGCTAGAGTTTCTGACTTTGGACTGGCCACTTTGATGGAACCAGATAAGACTCATGTGTCAACACTTGTAGCTGGAACTTTTGGATACTTAGCTCCTGGTACAGTTGCGGTACTTACCACCCAATTATTAATTATATTTTCAGTACATGCCGCTTAACCTTCTGGTGTATTGGTATAAGACAGAAATTTTTTTCTGCAGAATATTTCGATACAGGAAGAGCAACAGCAAAAGGGGATGTTTACAGTTTTGGAGTGGTTTTATTAGAACTTCTAACTGGAAAGAAACCTTCAGATGAAGCATTTATTGAGGAGGGTACAAAGCTTGTGACATGGGTAAGTAAACCCAGCCATTCTTTTGCTAAATGACATGTTCAGAAAATTTCACCAAATTTCCATGTTTTTGTGGTATTTTCAATCTGTTCTTGTTCAAATTCAGATATCACTGCCCAGGCAACTCGTTAATCAACAAAATAGTCTCTAGTATTGCTTTCATCATTGATCAGTAATTGATATACTTGCTAATCAATCGGTTAACGATGTTGCAGGTGAAGGCAGTTGTTGAGGACAAAAAGGAGGAGTATGTGATTGACAGTAACTTAGGGTGTTGTCCAACCGATGAGATTAACAATGCCTTTAGTATTGCTTTAATGTGCCTTGAACCAGAGCCTTCCAAGAGGCCTACCATGGTTGAGGTTGTCAAGATGCTTGAGGAGATCAAAAATAACAAAGTTGTAAAAGAGACTTAAATCATATGATTAATGCATCTCCTTTCTTTTAGACAATGTATAGATTCTATACACCAGTTTATGCCCTCAAGTGTTCCTAGCCTTCTTATCAAGAGCTTTCTTCCATCATTTCTCTCAGATATGTAAAAGTGATGAGTAATTGAAACATACATTAATTCTTTGTTTCCGCCCTTTAATTATCTGTAAGCAGTAAGCACTAAATTATGTTGTAGATTGTACTTTAATCTAATGAGATTACCCTCACCCTGACCCTGGCCATAGCAGAAGCCAATAAACAAATTCTAATGCCATAATTACATGATTGGATCCACAGGTTATAAGGTGCAAGCAATTACTTTTTCCTTTAAAGAATTGAAGCTTACTGCTAGACTAGACATATGATTAATTTAAGACGAGATCAAAGACTTGCCAATAAGGATACAACAACCTAGCTAAAGTTTATAAATAAGATAGGTGAGAAACATATTTTCTTTTAGATTATACATCAATTTCCTTGTCAAGTAGGTACATAAACAGATACATAGAAGAAAGATGACAGCTCAAGTAACCTTTTTCTTTTTTGCTAAGCAGCTCAAGTGACAAATAGACAGACATACAGTGGTTGAATAAAACCATATCTCCAAAAAAAGGAGGAGGAAAAAGCTAACTTGTGTCATCTACTTGAGGACTGATTCCAGTCCATTCACAACGGATGATTTTAAGGAGGGAGAAACTGGAGTATCTCCAAAGAATACATCGAAAAGAGCCAAAGCCACATTTTCTGATTCTATTGCAGCATCCACACTAGACGGAAGCCCATCAGCGGAGATGCAAACCTAAGTATCACAATAAATCTTATCGGATAAGAATGCTTGCAGGTAAAAAAAATTGAGAAAATAGTATAAGAAAGCATAACAATAACAATGTTGGTTTAATTTTGCAAACCAGCAAAAAACACAAAGTATCAGAATGCGTCTTGAGAAAATCCAAGAAAAAAACAAGGGAAAACATAGAACACCAACAAGCCTGCATAGTTGATAGCCATTAGAAAAAAAGTAGAGTAGACCTGAAATTAGAACTTACAAGCATTTTCAAAGGGTCTGGCCAAGTCAAAAATATGAAAGTTCCCTTTTTAAGGGGTTGCCCTTGGAAGATACTACGGAATGTGGACAGTGCTGATTCATCAACAGGAGTGGGTGATTTGATTCTTGGGGAGATAGCATCATTCAAGGCATCCCAAAAAGTTTTACCATCAACATCTCTAACCAGAACAATCTGTAATGATTTCTCCAGGGGAGCTGCAATTAAAGAACAGTAATTTTAGCAACCTCTGTGTGTGTGTGCAGCAAGGAAGACGCACAAGTTTTATGATCATTACATTGAAAAATGGTGCTGAACAATGACGAATCCTCTTGAATCTCAGCAGCTGATCTTCCTTTCCAAGCATTCAAACTATTTAAGATGGACTGGTTCACATATAGCCCTGCAGCATAGACTTTAACGCCAATAATTGCAAAGACTTTTTCCCTGTATCCTGCAACCATTGCCAACATTGAAGTTATATGCTACATGAACCACAGCCATTAGATGAAAAGCTACTATAATCTCATAACTTCAAAAGATTAACAAAAACATGGGTGTGGTTAAAAGTAGCAGGTACTATGTGACAGAACTGTTATATTATGTTAACAGATGAAAAGCTACTGTAATCTTTCTAATCATAACTATTTGTATCAAAACTCAACAAATGGCAATCTTTCTTCTTCTAGAAATGGATACACTTTGGTATTAACTGAAGCAACTGACCGGTTCCAAGCAACGACAATGAAATTGAGCAACCTGGCAAGCTCAAAGATGTCTGAAATCTCACTTTGGTAGCAGGTTCCTCTATGTATTCTGCACTTCCAACTGTAGTTTTGTTTACATAGGGCAAACACATCAGATTTTGTAGGGAATAAAATCAAAAGAGAAGATAATAAGTGATTAAAAAGGAACAGCACATTTAATCTTGCAAATCAACACTTCATACAGTAGCTTCACATGATTGGGAATACCAGTGATAACACAATTTGATTCAACTACTACAAAGAGTTTCATGGCAAGGCATCTTATAGTAAGTGTAATTGTAAACGAATGTCATTGCCATCCAAACTTAACAGAAAGTTATTTATCTTTACTTCTTTTAGTTATCTCAAATTTCAACAAAAAATAAGAATGAACCAGATTAATTTCTCACTTAGTGCTCAAGTTGTGTCCTTGACCTCAACTTCTCTGTGCTTTGCAATATCTCAGGCACAATTACACTACACATTGTGCAGTTGTGAATTATAACTGGTAGCACCATATAATAAGATTCCACTACAGATGTATATGTGCAATTATGCCACATACAAATGTACGATCTAGAGAACCAAAATATGTGAGATTATCTCATTATAACTTGATGACATTTACAAAAAATGGTGTCATCTTTAACCAAAAAATTGCAGGGTGTCATGTTCCATACAGATAAAGTCCAAGACAAAGTCAAGTTTTATTCGGAAAGAACATGGGCATTGCATGTATTAAGTCCAATAATAGCAGCTTAATCTTAAGTCAAGTTTCCCCACATAAAGCCAGTGTTTTTATAGTACCTTCCTTTAATTTCTATCCCCCCGTATACCCTAGCTATTGGGAATTTCAGAAAGGAAAGCTTTTGTCAAGTCTAGTGGAATTCATGTAGCTAGACTTAAGTGTTTCTAACAGAAAATTTGGTTTAATTGTAAGCCATAATAACATAATTGACTAAAGCCACCGGCTTTCAGAAATCTATCTACTCTCCGGCCAGAAACTTGATTGCTTTTTTTCCCTCAATTCAAACAAGTAATTCTATCCAAAAATTTGACCACATTTACAAGATTTTTGCCATAGGGTTTTCTGCAGCCATGCTACTTATCTGATAAACATTTGAAAAACAAAACCATTTGAGGATTACATATGTTCTTTGCAAATGTAGCTAGTAGTTTAAGATGCATTTCTTGTTCTGCATAACTGGTGGGGTAAAACCCAAAAACCCAATTTGGAATTACAGGGAAAGAAAGTGAAAATAGTCCAAAATCAGTTGCTCATCATGGCAGCTGAATTTCAAACAACACAATAACAAACCATTTAACTTCATATAACACAAGATTGAAAAGAAACCCTGTAGAAAAATGAAACGAGAAATCAGGAAGCTGATGGGTAACAGGAATTTACCTGAAGATGAGGAAGCATTGAATGTGAAACGGGTCTGAGTTCTAATGTCCTCCGGAGGAGACAAGAAAGAGCAAGAGTGGGTTTGGCACAACAGTTCATTTGGATTTGAAATTCTAGCCACAAAACCAATTATGGGTCTGGAAATGCAGTTTCTGGTAAAAATGGGTAATTGGAGCCTTGTTCGAGTGCAAATTGCTTGAGCTTCAAACATATTTGTATTTTTTGTGTTTCCAGGAAAACCCTTTTCCCAATTAAACTGTTCGGTAATTCAAAGACAAGATTTTGATAGGTTGAGCAAGGTGGGCTTCAGCTAGCCTGCACTCTGTTTCACTCTGCAGTAAAAAAAAAATGTACGTACAGTTTCTCCATAAATAGTAAAATATTAGTCGGTGGTAAGTGAAACGATCAGTTAGTTTGCTCACTCGCTCCAATAAGCCACTGTAAAAGGCGATATAAAAGGACAATGTTGATGATGAGGGTGATGATGTGAGAGAGACGCAAAGTCACTCCACGTGGATGTCCTCAAAAGCTCCAGTCTTTGAAACTTTCCAATAGAATTCCAAGGATCCCAAACTCCAAAACGGCTCACTGATGACGACCCCAGTTAATGAAAAATAGCCGTTACCTTTGCCTTTTTCTTCACTTTAAATCCCACATCTCTCTGGTTCTTTTCTCAGAGACCCAAAAGATCAGTTGTACTTTCTTCTTCATCATCAGTTTGGTTTCAGGCTTTCAGTCAGTAGGCAAACTTAGTACTAGAACAGCTCTCTATGGCTAAAGCGGCTATCTCTCTGTCGCTCCTGCTCTTGTCCTTCACTTCAGGTACTTTATTTCACATGATTTCTTAGAACGTTATCAGGTTCCTTGCATTAAACTTTATCCAAACTCCCCCAATATTTTAAGTGCATTCCTACACATTAGCAGAATTTTACCTCTGATTACAAATCTGTTGTTGTCTTTTGCAGAAACATTGCTCATGGTAAATGGACAGGTAATATCAGGTTCCTCAAGTATGAAATATACAAATTCAAATACAAATCTATAATTTACTTTGAACTGACCTTTTTTCTTTCTGTTGTGGAAATGCAGAAAACTTGGTGTGTGGCAAAGCCTTCATCAGACCAAGCAACACTTCTAGCGAATCTAAATTACGCGTGCTCTCACGTAGATTGCCAGATACTTCGAAAGGGATGCCCCTGCTCCTCTCCAGATAACCTCATGAATCATGCCTCTATAGCCATGAATCAATACTACCGAGCTAAGGGGAACAACCAGTGGAACTGTGATTTTAGGGGCTCTGCCCTCATCGTCATGACTGATCCAAGTAAGTCACAGTTCTTAATAAGGAAGTTTTGAGAAACAACACAAAGTTCTTTCATGGAAAACCATATAATTTCATTTGATTTGGAAAACTATTTCTACTGGTATGGTAAATGAATTATGCCATTTCATTTTTGTGTAACATTTCTTTTTGTGTTGATTTGCAGGTTATGGTGACTGTATATATGCATAATTCCCCAGTACAAGAGAGTGCATGCATGTGCTTCTTCCAAACAAAAGAAAAAAAAAATCTTGAGTGTATTCTGTTTGTTTGTAGAATTTAGCATTCAGTATTGCTCTATATGCAATATGGGTACGGCTGTCAAATTTTCAGTTCACCTCAATTCAATAAAATTTTAAATGTTTGCTCTCTTTTAATTAAAAAAAAAAAAGGGGGAACAATAAGCTTGTAACTCAAGTAGTGGTCGAGAGTATTTACCTTGGTATCTGGCACCTGAGATTCTAAGTTCGATTTCCCATTCCCCCAATATCACTTGTATAAAAATAAAAATAAAAATGGAGGGGGTAAAAGAAAAGCACATGCTTTTTTCAGAGGTATCCCAAGCTGATTAGCATCTATAGGCTTTTTTTTGTTGTCATTTTCTTCGCATTGTCCTACTTCTACTACATCTAAACAGGGCATATATTATTGTGTGGGCATCCCAGATGGTCTCCCATACCATTTGGGGCCAAAAAAAGGATAAAGTTAGGCTGGGAACTTGGCACTTAATGTTTGCTTATTTGATGTTTGTCTTAAGATGAAAGAGGCAGAAATCAAATTGCAATAATGATTTGATCTTTAATCTAATTGCAGCAAATTAGACTTCGAAACAATTTAGTTTCTAAGGAACTTGGGAAGTCACTGCAGTCAGCGAAGTGACAACTCTTGTAGGTGAATGGTGACGTGATAGCAACACATGCTCAAACTTCTGGTATAGGAAAGCAGAGCCTCTCTGAGGTTCTATCCTTTCTTGATGGGTACACAAGAACCAAATTTTGGCTCATACATTATGCACTAACCAATAATGGACATGGCGTAAAACTTTACAGGGTTATTATTGAGACACCAAAACGTTATCATGAACTCTTCCTCTCTTTGTAAAACCATAAAAGAAGTGCGTGATAACGTTTATGGAATTCAATAACAATTCCCAAAATTTATTTAAGGAGTCCATAAACATATACACAAGCATCCTATAAAAACATAGATGGTTAAAAACTCAAACAATAGATGCATCTCCCATTGAACTAGCCATTGATTGATCCTACCTTCCTTTCTGGCAAGTGGTTGAAATTCATTATTAGTACAAAAATTTAAATGTGCAAATGACTCTCACGCCTTCGCCTTCACACGATTTGATTGAACAAGAATATGGTACATATAATGCCACGTGCATCAATCAAGTAAGGTGCTGTGGATAGAGCGACAAGAGATTAGGAATAGGCAGAGGCAGGACCTGCCACCTATTCTATTATGTATTTGACCATTACGTGGTCCTATTTGCCCAGAGACATTAGGCAGATGTTATTAGCATTGTAAAATATGTGTCATTGTGGTTGTTTTTCCTTGGACTTGTGTGTACTTCTTGCATTAGCGTACTGTGTACTAATCTTGGAGATTATTAGTTTACAAATTAAGACCTTTTTTTATTAGGTTAGAACACAGCTGCAAAATTATTACGTTAACGTTAGTGTCATATATTAATTGACATTCTATTTAGATGGAACTCGATCACATTTCATTATTAAGTCATTTATTCTTTTGGATCACTTTGGCCGAAAGAATAAAATGAAATCAAGCAAACAAAAATGATTTAAAAGTAAAAAGATAAATTAATAATTTCACTAAATATTCTTCAGATAGAAGAATTATTTGAGTTAAAATTTGTATGAAAATGATTTGAAGTTCACAAATCACGTTTGTGACTCCCCACCCTCACAATATGAACGAAAATTGTGCAATAATCTACTATACAATGTAAGAATTGCTAAAGAACAAACAAATCACACGATATAAAGAAAGATCTGATTGGTGGAAAATCTAATAGTCATGACATCCAGTCGTCGTTTAGAGGGAAATGGTTTCTGGCTCTCATTTGACCAACAAACTTGAAAACTCCAAGGACAAACATTCATTTGCAACCCATAGATAAGCCAAGCCAAAGGATTTCCCTTCCTCTTTGAGTTGAGCCTTTTAAACTTCACCCCACAATACAAAGACCAACTCATTTTCTGAGGGTCACTCATATCTCTCGCTCTCTCCAACTGATAAGGAGCAAAGAGAACTCTTCTTCCATGTGGGCTTCTTGGATCCACTCAATTCTAATTCCAACTTGTGCTCCATGCTAAAACAGAAGCTTCCCACCCAGTGGCCTCATTTGATTCTTTTACAGAGTTTCCTACAATTCCCACAAATGTCTTAATGACTATTTTCTTGCTGGTGCTTGGTTTTATGAGAAATTGAGCTGATTTTCTCTTCTGGGTTTTTGGTTTTAGTTTTAGTTTTGGTCATTTTGGTTTCTGGGTATTGCTTAGAATGGTGTCAATGACATGCCATAGTCTTGAGGGTAGAGCTATGTTGGATTTGGTGGCTTGTGGGTGTTCTTCCAATGCTTTGTTGGACCGTTCATCAGTGAGGAATTACACGAAGGCAAGTTCTAAGGGCATTTGTAGAGGTAATGGAGCTCGGCAATTGGTTTGTGCTAGGCGGGACCGAATTCGGTGTGGAGTGTCTTCAATGAAAACAGCTGAGACTCCAGTACCAAAGAAAACAGCTGAGACTCTGCTAAATAGTAAGACTAGAGTTTGATTTTGGTTTGAGGTTGAAGTTTTAGTTAATTGAATGTTGAGCTTTGTTTCTACCAAATGCTTCAAATTAAAGTTTTGTTTTGGTTGTTCGTACCATTACAGGTGTTTCTGGTGTTTCTCAAGGTTTTCCACAAGTTTTGGATATAAACAAAGAGTCAAGAAGGCCTGTTTCGTTGACAAATTTGTTTGAAGTGGTTGCTGATGACCTCCTGACATTAAATCAAAATCTTCAGTCAGTAAGTACTCTTATTGAAATTCCTGGTGTTGTGTAATATTATAGCTATGAGGTATTTATGGTCAAGAATATTGCTATGTATTGTACAGTTTCTAATCATTTCTTCGTGCCGGCTGAGCTTAGTTTTAAACAATCTTTTTTTTTTTTCTGCTTGATGGTATTTCTGTCAGTTATTATATTTGTACGAGTAGTAGTTAGTGACATCCTTTCTAGAAAAAAGAACACATTTTTACCTTCTCCCGTGAAGCTGTAGAAATAAAGTTTGTAATGTTTCTATGCGGAAAGCAGTACTAGACTAAGAAACAATATGTGTGTGAATGTTCTTGTTGCTAGTTGCACATATCTGTGATGTGCTTAATTTAGAAGCTAGAAATTTGGTATCTTTCTTGATGTTTTGGCATCATGACGGATAACTCTTCTAAAGGTACGTAGGACCTTTTTAACGCCATAATTGTTACGTTTAATGTACTAATAAGTGGAAGTGTCTTGCTTATTTGGAGGTTATCTGTTCTTTCCCATTGTTGGGCCTTAGGTATGAATAGCATCCTTGTTCACTTATTCTGTCCATGTCTTCCCATTCTATGTAGATCAGGCTCTTATCCATTTGATCGCTTATCAGTTATAGTTGAGCATACATATCCAATCGCAGAGGTCAGCAGTGCCTTAATCCAGCTGTTTGGGTAGGCAACATAAATCTTTACCCTGTTGTTTCTTGCCCACCATATCCCATTTATCAGTTCTTATTCTTCCAAATCATCATCATCCTTGCCTTTATCCCAATCTTGTATTTGCCAAGTGAGCTGATTTTGAGGAAAAAATTCATGCGACAGTCTGACCTGATGGTGTTTGGATTCACGAGTTTGAGTTGCATTCATGGAAATACGTTTCCAGTCATGAACTTGTTGTACAGTAAAACTTCTTATCAATCATCCTTGGCTAGAAATGTCAATTTTTCAATTTTCTCACCGTCGAACTATAGCGCCCTTGTCATACCAAAAATGTTCATAGAATTTTGTTGAGGTAGATAGACCATATCAAGAGTTATAGACTTGATGTCTAAGGCCATTTAGCATTAAATGATTTGCCATTTTTCGATGACACTAATTTTAAATAATTTAAGTTCACTTAGCAAGTGGTAGAAAATCAACCATGCTAATGTATGTTTCATTATTTCATTACTTTGCTCCATGTTTTCTTCTGGTTCAGTGTTGCTATATGATAAACAAGTAATGTGGTTGATAATTCATGGACAATTAGATTAGTGCACATAGCAGGGCCAATGCTTGTTGAATCTATATTATCAGGCCCTTATTTTCTGTTTATACCAATTTTAAGAGGAAAGGACACTTTGTGATAAGATGCTCTTTCAGATTGTTGGCGCAGAAAACCCTGTCTTAATGTCCGCAGCCGAGCAGATCTTTGGTGCTGGTGGGAAGAGGATGAGACCAGCATTGGTGTTTCTAGTGTCCAGAGCAACATCAGAAATAGTTGGGTTGAAGTGAGTTTGATCCAATGTTCTTAAAGCGCTGTATTTTATGAAGTTAACAGATTATGAACTTTGCTCTGAACTTTGTTATTCAGGGAACTTACCATGGAGCATCGTCGATTGGCAGAGATCATTGAGATGATCCATACTGCAAGCTTGATACATGATGATGTATTGGATGAAAGTGACATGCGGCGAGGTAGGCACTATTCTCTTCTTATGGATGTCACTTGTAAAATTACAGAGATGTCTCTTTGTGACAAAATATATCACCTACCTATTCTTTGCCCCCAATTTTTAGCTACTATAGTATCTATCCATAAATTGATCATATTCTGGATAAACTTGATAAAGAAATCCCAGTGGAAAGTAATGTTACTTCCAACGGCTTGAAGTTTCGTAACATTATCAGAAAACTGAATATTCCCAGTCTAACACAAAGCGACTACTGCATGTTTCCACACTTCTTATTAGCATTTCAATTCTTTGTTTTCTTTTATGCCCTCAGATCACTTCCAATGAGTGTGAACCTTATTTGCAGGGAAGGAAACTGTTCATCAAATGTTTGGTACAAGAGTGGCGGTGCTGGCTGGGGACTTCATGTTTGCACAGTCATCATGGTATCTTGCAAATCTAGAAAACCTTCAGGTCATTAAGCTCATCAGTCAGGTAAGTTGTGTCATATTCCTACCCTTGCCTTCATGAGTCGCAATCTTCTTTCAATGCTTAGAGTCATTAGTGTGTTTTCTAAATAATTTAAACTCACGAGTTGAAGAACCAAAAATGAGAAAGAGGCTTTAATCTGTTAATACTTGAAACCTTTAATTTATATGTAATTCTGTTAGTGCTGTGGCAGGTTATCAAAGATTTTGCAAGTGGTGAAATAAAGCAGGCATCCAGCTTGTTTGATTGTGATGTCGAACTGGAGGAGTACTTGATTAAGAGCTACTACAAAACAGCCTCTTTGATTGCTGCCAGTACCAAAGGAGCTGCCATTTTTAGTGGCGTTGATAGCTATATAGCAGAGAAAATGTATGACTATGGTAAGAATCTTGGTCTGTCCTTCCAAGTTGTTGATGACATATTGGATTTCACACAGTCCGCAGAGCAGCTCGGGAAGCCTGCTGGAACTGACCTCGCCAAAGGAAACCTGACAGCCCCGGTAATTTTTGCTCTAGAGAAAGAGCCAAAACTAAGAGATATAATTGAATCAGAATTCAGTGATACTGGTTCCCTTGACGAAGCCATTAGATTGGTTAAGGCGTGTGGCGGCATTGAACAAGCACAAGTGTTAGCAAAAGAGAAAGCTCATCTTGCAATCCAAAATCTCGAATGTCTTCCTAAGACTGCATTTCGATTAGCTCTGGAGGATATGGTAATGTTTAATCTTCAAAGGATTGATTAGTGGGCTAATTTTTAGGAAGGCCTTTATAGACAAGAACTCCTTTAGGCAGAAGGAAAAAAAAAGGCTAAAAAGTGAAGCTTCTACACTACAAGCATCTTCTGCACATCTTCAAAGCGCTTCTGCCAATGCCAAGCTGATAGCCACTGCTTGCCAATTGGGTAAATGTGTTAATATGCTATATCTTAAGCTCATTATACTGTTGATTTAGTTATACATTCTTCACAAATTGGCACAAAATGAAAATAATACTACACCATTGTTGTACAATAAAATTCTGGGGTCATCAATAATTTTGACCAATATATTTTCTCTTATTGCTATCTTGTTCATACTTTTAACTTCAATCAGGGAAGTCGATGAATTCAAGAACTCAACTCAATTCAATCCAGTGTTGTTTGATTTGTAAAATTTTCCATTCAATCCAGTGCGGCCTAATAATGAAGAAATCTTGTTCCATCCAATCCAATTAGATTGGATGATCACTTTTATTTCTATGGAATAATCTGAAACATCAAAGTTTACAGGATATTTCTAATCATAAACTTCTGCGTTAGTTTTCTAGGCAAATTTAATTCCAAACTACTTATTGGTATAAAGATATTTCTATTCTCAATGTTCGAGGAAGTTCCAAGATCAATTCATCTAACCCCCGTTGATACAAAAATAAAATAAGATACTAATCAGCCGTGACACAAAAAGAGTAGTAGAGGTTAAAAATACGTTGCTTGTGTACTTTGCTCATGCGTTATGGTAGCGAATAACGTGGTTTGACCGTCTCACTCAAGACTTTGTTCAAAGGACGTCCACACCAACATCTAAAGGCCCAAGTTTTTTCTTATTTGTATAAATGAAAAAAGAAATGAAAAAATGATTTAAAATGTAGAAAAGGCTATATCCAAATTCTCTGAATAAATTAATAAAATACGAATCAACGGGCTAGAACATGTGTTTTAACTGTAGATGGGCCTAATTCGGCCGCTAATTTACAGTCTAACCCGACCCATTGATCGGCCCGTCAGTCGTGACCATTGTTCTTCGGCCTCATAGCCTAAGCCTCATACACAAGCAAACTCCTTCAAGCTTTCCCAGTACAAATTCAAAATCTTCCAAACGCTTCCTCAAATTCATCGAATCATTCATAAATTTTCAACCTTTCAAGCTTCTTAGAGAGAGAGAGAGAGAGAGAGAGAGAGAGAGAGAGATGAGGCTACTGAACTACTTGGGGCAATGGAGAAGCGTAGCAAAGGAAGCGAAGGATCTCACAGTAACTGTAGCGAAGTTCATGGGTTTGCTCCACGTCACCGACGCCTACCTCTGCTCCTCCACTCTTGTTGTTACTGCAACCCTACCATTTTCCCCTCGTTCTCCTCTTTTTAAAATTTCCATTTTCAAAAGGGTCGTAGTCTTATTATCCGCTGCTTGCAGGTCTACGGTCCTAGTATGCTCCCTACCTTGAACATTTCTGGCGATGTGCTCCTGTCCGAACACGTGTCCCATCGCTTTGGGAAGGTGGGTGCCGGAGATTTGGTCCTGGTTCGGTCTCCGAATGACCCTCGAAAGATTGTGACCAAGCGTATTTTGGGCATGGAGGGTGATCAAGTCACCTTCTTTGTCGATCCCAAGCACAGTGACAGGTCTCGGACTACTGTGGTATGTGTAATTTTTTGTTGTTGTTGTTGTTGTTGGTATGTTATTTGTGATTGCAAATTGTTATTTTGTTGGTTAGAGTTCAATTTATTACTGCATTTTGTACTTTGGCAGTCTTGTTATGCTGTCAAGTTGTAAAACAAGAAATATACTTGTATTTATTAAAACATTAGTAACTTATAAATAAATGGTTTTTTTTTCTTTTTGTGTGGTTTTAATGACTTTTTTTACCTTAGTTGAAGATGTCTTCTTTGCTCCAGCTCAATGGAACTCCTTTGATGTGTAGTGTGCAAAGATTTCAATGTCCTCTGTATGAATCTAGGTTGTAAAATCTCAATTGAGTGGGGAAAAGGAGGGTCAAGTGGTTGCTATTTCTAACATTTGATAGTGGCTGGGCCTTGATTTGGTATATAATTGATGGTCTAAAAGTAATTCTTCTTAGAGTTATTAGTTTATGGAAATGCTTGGTTAGTATGCTGCTTATGCAATTTACGCTGTCTAATGTTTTATCGTGTCAAGAGTAACCTGGGACTTCCTGTTTTTCTGGAGGTACATGATTTTTTATGTAGTGTGTGATCCTAGTTATGTTTTAGTGTTTAGTATTTTTATATTTGGGCCCTAAGTTATCTTTCTAAATCTTTGTAACTAATATTTTGACAAAGGTGTCCACAGGATGTTAATATTGAGAATGCATTCTGATGCTAGCCAAACTTTGATATACTTTGGTGCAAACATATTTGACCAGATTAAATGTCGACTTTGATATGGGATTCCTTTTTCGAACAGTATAAAAAATACTCATTTTCAGTGTGCGTTCTCTCTCTATTGTCTTAGGAATGTGATGATTTGCTGCTTAATACAGAGTATTTATTTAGTTATTTCCTTTTCCTTATCAAAACTATCATATTATATTTCTGATTGACGTGATTGATTTGTTGCTTTGTGTTTTTGGGCTTGGATGAATAGGTGCCTAAGGGGCATGTTTGGATTCAGGGGGATAACATCTATTCCTCCTTTGATTCTCGAACATATGGAGCTGTACCTTATGGTCTTATTCAAGGCAAAGTGTTTTGCAGGGTAATGCTTTTTTGTCTTTCTGAAATCTATCTTATTGTATTAGTTTTTGTATCTTCAGTCAGTTCTTTTGTGGTTGTAATTCTGTCCCTGATATTAATTAGGATGTAGTTTATGTGATAAAAAATGTGACCAACTTTAGTATCTTTGCATAATTTATTCTTACCTGGAAATAAAGTCAACTCAAGCAGCAGTTATTTCAACTTGTCGAGGTTGATCGCAGAAGAAATTTATGTCCCTGGTCATATTTGTATGTTGTCTTTGGGCAATGTCTTTAGCTCACTATTAATTTTACGGGAGCTATCTTTCAGAAGCAGAGTAGCAACACTAAATTGATTTGGTATGTGTGTGACTAAGACAAATTAGTTTATGTCCCTTCTATAGTTATGTGCTTGTCATGGTTTAGACTGTAGAAGGCTTGTGATTAGTTTTTCTTTTTGTTGATTAAGGATTTCCACAACCTTTAGAAATAGGTTTTTAATTTTTTTTTATTGAGTGAATTTCTCCTCCATCGTTTTTTGTTATATCTAAACTTCTCATGTTAATTTCTTTTTTTCCAAACTTCCTTTTAGGCATTTTGGTGCACCTGAATATTTTTATTTCATTTTTCATGCCTTTACTAGGTGTGGCCACCTGATGGCTTTGGATCATTGGATTGATGAGCATAAAGAGGATTATAACATTAAGGTAAGCAATTGACATTGTACTACATGTATTGTATTTGCATGAGAAACTTTTTGTTTCTCTCCCTTTGTTTGCTTTTATGTAAAAGAAGAACATGTTAGTTTGTGTTACTGCATTTTTTGGGTGTGCTGAAGTTGACAAATTGTGATTACTCTACAATGACAATCTGATACTGTAATATAATTATGGCTGATGCTTCTGTTAGATTTATACATTCTCTTTTGTCCCAAATCCACCATTTTGTAAGATCTCTTTCAATTAAGGTTATTAAGATGCAATAGCTGATTCGTATGAACAATTAAGTCTGATTTAGGTATTCATGTAGGTTCAAACTGCTTACTGGGGTAACAAACTCTTGAAGCTCTGCTGGAATGTATCAAGTCCAAAAGGTTTAACATCATTTATCAAGTGTTCAGGTTTGATTGAAGTGAAATATGAAGGAAAAAAATGAGGAATTCTATTGTGGGACAGGGTTGGGAGGGGTGTTGATGTTGGGGGAGAAGGGAGGATGGTAATATGTTTCCACTACAGAAGCAAATTTAGTGTGTTATATTGGCGATCTTTCAAATTTCTTTAGTGCCCTGCCCTGTGTACTTGACTAAGCGGGATGAGGAGTCTCAGAACTGTGTCTACACTCTTACATCTGCTCTGGTGTCTTGGTAGTTCTAAGGATTTCTTTTTTCCTTTTTGCACTTGCTGGTTACACAACTAGTAATTACTGGTCTGGTGTCTTGGTAGTTCTAAGGATTTCTTTTTTCCTTTTTCCACTCGCTGGTTACACAACTAGTAATTACTGGTCTTTCACATTACATGCTTTTCTAGACTTAAATAAATTCTTATTGTGCTTTTTCATGACCAGGCAGCCAAGTCTTAAATCTTTACAGATTTCACTGCCAATAACTTAGTAATTAAAAATTGTTTTCCTCCAAGTCTTAAATTTTAGACTTTGCTGTACGTAGGATCTTATTTGAAAAAACAACCCAAGACTTTGCTTTACGTAGTAGGCTACTATTTCATGGATGTGGCATGTGGATTGTTTTTTAATATGATGCATTAAAAAATGATGTTGTTTTCCTGTAGGTTATATATTGTTATAACATCTCTTATCTCTGTTGTCAGAAAATTCTTTCTTGGTGTATAAGATGATTGACGCAAGGTCTGAGAAGCTCAAATTTGTATATATCCCAAATGGAAGTGCATGCCAGATATGGTTGTAAGTGACATGCCTAGAAGTCTCATGTATAAATAGAATGGCAGTTGCCATAGTCATTGATATTTTTTTTGACAAAAGAGGATTGATGGTTTATCTTATCTAACATACGTGACAAAAGAGGCTAAAACTTGCCTATCAAAAGAAAATGAGTACTTGTACTATGCAATTTCAATTTCAATCGGAATCTGACATAGGATATTCTATCTGTATTCAAATTTCAAGTTTCCTTTGAAAGTCCTACTTATACTATGCATAACACATATTCAGGTTCTTATTGAAGTACTAAAACACCCCCACTCCACACACATTAGTCTGTTATTTATAGGGGATGAACAGACAGAATTCTTACAAATCAGAAAGTTGAATTTTGATCTTAGATTTTATGAAAAATGATTTGAGTACCATACTGAGGCTCAAGAGTGAGCATATTCAAAGGAGAATGTCTGTAGGCCGGAGAAAGCTCAAATGTAAACCGCTGTAAAATCATGGTTATAACTGTTTTTGCTTCCATGAGCGCAAAGTTCTGTCCAATGCATGTCCTAGGGCCTGTGCTAAATGAGAAGAATGGTGCTACTTCATTCTTTGATGCCTTGGAGATGCCTTCTGAGAACCTCTCCGGCTTGAATTCGTGGACATCATCGCCCCAGATTTCTTTGTCATGATGGACAAAGAGAATTGGCACTGCAAGCTGCACACCTGGTGGTAGAGAAATGTCTCCCAATTTGGTCTCCTTAGTAATCTCTCGGATTGTGAAAATGGCTGGTGGGTACAACCTAAGAACCTCATACAGAATCATGTTCACCTACAATAAACACATTTCAATATTTGGGATTTAGCTAATCAGATCAAAATTTTAAGGGCAGCAAAAAAAGAAACCAAGAGGATTAGAGAGAATAGTATTTACAATTTTTAAGCGGTTTAAGCCAGCATGGTCTGGTTGTTTGTTCTTAAAAATTTGCACAACCTCTTCTCTTGCACGCCTTTGCCAGTCTTGATGCTTGCCCAACAGAACTAGTGTCCAGTTAATCAAATCTTTGGTTGTGTCTTCTCCAGCTAAGTAGAACACTTTGCATTCTTCAATCACTTCTTCGATGCTCATTCCGACATCCTTGTCGTCTCCATGCTCTTGAATTTCACTAAAATTGGATTTCAGAAGTATACCCAACAAATCATCTTCTGTGGCTTCTCCTGCCCTCATTGCCTTCTCCCTTTTGTTGATAATTCCCCTCAGACAAATAGCCATTTCATCGGAGATCTGTTTCATGCTCCTGTTCATTTTAGTTGGCAGAAACCTGCATGCACATTGATATGTAGTTGCAGCTTTTAATAAAGTGTATCGTTTTCCAATCGAGGTTTGAGAAAACCTTATATATATTCTCTCATCCGGATGTCCGCACGTTATTATCGTGTGGATGCCATTGTAAACAGGGAGGAGGGTAGTAGAAAATACATGACGTCCGCACGATAATAACGTCTGGACGTCCGCATAGGAGAATTTCCGTAGGATTTAGGGATCCGTAACAAAATATGCAGAACATTTAACATCTAAATAAAGGTTTTCCTTGTGAGTGGGGCATTAGAAGTTTGATTTCACCTCAACAGTGGTATGTAGACCGAGTTCAGAACTTCGCGTGTCAGAGCACCTTGTTCCTTTTGGAGCTCGAAGAACCTTTCTCCTTCTTCAAAGTTACTACCGAATGCTGCCCGGGAAATAGCATCGCCGGAAAAAGCGCAAAGATAAGGCCACACATCCAACTCACATGTCTCCTTTGATGAGAAATGCGTCTCCCATTTGCTCAACATGTTTTCACAAGCGGCATGAAATGCAGGTAACATGTCCTGTAACAATGTGGGCAAAGAGAGAAAAGGAACTAGGTTTAGAACCGGAAAGACATGAAGAATTCCTTCTCTGGAAGTTTTGTTTTTAAGAAAAGTCGAGAAAACTTGAATCATGTGGCATTTTGAATTAACCAAAATCACTCTCATGCCAAGTACAGAATAAGGGCTCGTTTGTAGCTGTTTATGTAGGGATTACTTCTACTCACAAACTTTTTGCTAGAAGTGGTTTTATTAGATGCACATTAAAGACTTCTATTAGAATTTCAAGTGCTAAAATTTTAAGGGCTTAACTTCGACATCTCCAGAAAGCACTTTTATGGTCTGTTTTCTCTCTTTCAAGTGTCATAAGTCTCAAACAGAACTTGTCATATGGCGCTGGAAATTTTGACCCATGAAAGAAATGAGTACCTTCATCTTGTCTATGTGGAAAGCTGGGTTGATGATCCTTTTATGCTTGACCCATTTGTCACCCTCGTAGCTGAGCAGGCCAGTCACAAGGAATGAGAGGAGTGGGTTTGAATGTGGCTTCTCAAACACCCTATGCTTGGTTAAAGTTTCTCTCATTAATTCCGCGTCAAAGATGACCACACTAGGAACTGGGCCTAGCCAAATGAAAGACTTTTTCCCTGCAATTTTTGGGACCCAAGAATTTGATCAGAACACCAACAGCTTGATTTTTTTCCAGGAACAAAGATTTTGTTTCTGGTTTGAATAAGCATGTTGGGTATACTTAATGAATTTGTGGGTGCTCTGGGCTAAGCCCAACAAGAAAGACTTTCTCCCTGCAATTTCCTGGCCAACTTTTTGGTCCAAGTAAAATCATCTGTCATCTAACTATTAGATTTCAAAGTCAAAAAAGTGGGAGCTGCTACAATACGGGGGATTGGGTGAGGAGTTTAAGTGAGGATCCAACCTAACTATGTGTAAGTTGAAAATGTTGAAGTTTAATGGTTGGATTGAACCCTTTATTTAAGCCCCTCATCCATACCCCCTCATTGTAGCCTTTCCACAAAAAAGTCCTCTGCAAACATGAGCTTAGCTAAGTTGGTCAGAGCAGATGTGCTCCCCACGAGTTCAAATTCCCTTTCCCGTAATTTAGATTAAATTAAAATAAAACATCGCTTGTATAAAATCAAAAGTCAAAAAAGTCCCCATCCATAAAAAGGGAGACATATGTTGCAGATTGATCATATATAGCAAATGATTGATAAGTGTTCTCCATCAACAGGATCCATAAAATTACCAAACAGCATCCAAGAAATCAGATAATTACAGAGAAGGCAACAAAAACATGCATAGGAGAGACAAAAGAAAATGAAAAAAAGTACCATATTTGTTGAAGGTTTCTTGGAGTAAAGGAAGCACATAAGGCACAATGTCATGAGAGAACTCCATGGGTTTTGAGAGTGCCTCTTTGGTCATCTTGGAGTTGTCAGTCAAGTCCCCAATCAAGAGCCTGTAGGAATTACCAGAAAGACCTTGCTGCCTCAGGTACCTTTCTAGCTTCTTTGGCTTCAACCAAACCCAGTTGACCACTTTCCACCCCAATGTAATCAAACCCACACAAAGAATGGCCACAACCATGGAGCTCACTGAGATTTCCATTTTTTTATGTGAGAAAAAAGAGTTCGCAGTCTAAAGACCCTTAAAAAGAAAATGGATGGAATCATGCCTGCCAGTGCCACATCACAATCACAGATATTAATTTATTACATGAACAAAATAAATAAAGACTCAAGCTCCCCAAGATGATTAGAATATGAATATGGTCACTTATCATCCATTCAAAATCTGACAAGAAATATGATTTTTTTTTATAGAACAAGGTTGGAATCTTAATATTATATATCCTGTCCATCTTTAGATTGGAGACAACAAATATTTATATATGACTCGATCTTTTTGCTCTGGTGAATATAAATGTATATTGATAGCTACTCCTACTCGCAGCATATATAGTATTCTTTTTTTACGCTTAAGTTAGAAAGGGGGAAGAGGGAAACTCTCACACATGCATACGGACTTGAACCCAAGGCTATTTTGGAGCATACCAAAAACCCTAGACCAATTCGACTAACATTTCGCATTTCACATACTGTTGATATTTCCTTTTGTTAATAATTTATTCGTAATTCATTTTGCAAATTGAATAACTTGTTTGCTGTCCTCATTTTAATGGCTTTGGTGTGTGGATCATTTGTATAGATGACTTGGATTTGTTGATCACTTGCAAGAGTAGATTGATTGATGGAATGGAAATATATAGGATTTCAAAAATTACAATAAAATATCAATATTGCATAAAAATTAGAGTCAAACAACTAGAACTATGGCTATCTTTATTTGATTCCTTAGTTTTTCCTATCAGTCAGACAAGTCAACGTTTATGTAAAATGATATGAGCACCAAATTGAGGTTGAAGGGTTATTTCTGCAGAAGGAGCATGAGCGTAGGATGGAGAAAGCTCAAAGGCAAAGTGTTGTAAAATCAAGGCCAAGGCCAATTTAGCTTCCACCATAGCAAAGTTTTGTCCAATGCAAATCCTTGGACCCCCTCCGAAAGGGAAGTAGGCAAATTTGTTCTTTGTTGCCTTTGAAACTCCTTCTGAAAACCTCTCTGGCTTGAACTCGTTTGCATCCTCACCCCACAATTCTTTGTCATGGTGAACAAGTAGTGTGTTTAAGGAGACTTCCACTCCAGCTGGTAATGACAATTTTCCAAGCTGTGTGTTCTTGTGAATGGCTCGAGAAAGCACAACAACTGCTGGGTATAATCGAAGAACTTCAAGTAAAATCATGGTTACCTGGGGGCATTATACAGTCATATATTTTATATCAAGTGACATGAAGGGCATCCAAAATTCTACAGGCTAGGTCTAAAAATGCTAATGAAAAGGTTAATTTTCTCTTCTCTCACCAAGTAGAGAGAACAAGAAAAGAAAAATACTATTAGGAGCACCAAATTTATTCACTATTCACCAAATTTTATTCACAAGATAACGTGACAGTAGTTGAATCAAAATTTTCGCTTATTTAGGCCCTAAAAATGATAGTACGAGTGTTAGGCGAATGAGGTATACCACATGAGAAGCTTGTTATAACTATTACGAAATTTTTTTTATTCCTATTCTTCATATATATGAGAAACATAAAATATTTTTGATTACTTTTCTTTGTTTGTTTCTTCTTATGCAAGGAAATCTTTCAAAGTAAAAGTGTGAAGTGATATATATTGTAAATACTTACTACTTTGACGTGACTTAGCCCATCAAAGTCTGGTTTATTGCTTCCAAACACTTGCAAAACCTCATCTCTTGCACGAGCTTGCCAATCCTGATTTTGACTGAGCAAAACCAGTGTCCAAACAAGCAACACTGAAGTGGTCTCTTGACCCGCAAAGTAAAACAGCTTGCACTCTTCAATCACATCCTCAATGCTCATCCCAAAGTTCTTGGTGTTCCCATTTTCTCGAATTTCCTTCAAGTTGGAAGCCATAAGTATCCCCAATAGGTCATCTTTAGTCGCTTCACCCACCCTAATTGCCTCTTCTCTTTTATTTATAATACCCATCAGTGAACCTTTTATTTCCTTGTCAATCTCTTTCATCCTCTTGTTCATCCTAGTAGGTAGAAACCTGCACCAAACAAACAACCTCCTCAATGGTAAAGATAATCGATCTAACTATAGTTACTGTCTAACCGTAAAAGGGTTTTCTGTATTGTTTATTTATTTACCACCATCCTGGAATGTAAACACTTTGTATAGTTTTCATTGTAAGTTGTCCTTGGTCTTTCAGGAGTTGAAATATTTTCCTTCCTTCTTCATAGCTACTCCCAAATGCTGTTCGAGAAATCACATCAGCTGTCAAATTTTGAAGATAAGGCCAAACATCTAACTCGCATGAACCCTCTTTAGACGCCAAGCTCTCCCATTTTTCAATCATCTCACTACAACTTTGGTGAAATGCCGGTAACATACGCTGTACAATACGAGTATTTGGAAATTACTTAGTAAATTAATTGTTAAATCTCCAGATATTTGAATGAATATTGACAAGAGTATATATATAGTACCTTTAGCTTCTCTGAATGGAATGCCGGGTTGATGATTTTACGGTGTTTTGCCCATTTCTCGCCCTCATAGCTTGAAAGACCTGTTGCTAGCAAATTCACCAGTGGATTTGTTGCTGGCTTCTGAAAATCTTCATATTTTGCAAATATATCTTTCATATCATCTGGATTACTGATGTTCACTCTTGGTGTGGGGCCAATCCAAATAAAAAAATTCTTACCTGCATTATTTTTTGTTTGATCACAATAGAACTTATAAGAAATTATTTACACATATTGGCAAATATATAAAATTAATTATTTACAGGTATCGTATATATCCATTACCAAGATAAACCACAAAAATAAATAAATAAATCCTACATTAAATTTATCACGAATCAGAGGTTTTCGACGGTTTCTAAAGGTTACTGAACGAAAGGATACCGATGTGATTGTTGATCTAGTAAGCTAGATTGTAAATTAGATCCACACATTTAAATAAAAATTAACATGATCAATTAATTATCCAACAATATATATGAGATAACACATTAAATTTTATGGAAGGATAACTATAGTCGTACATATGAAGGTAGTAAATAGGGATGATAATGGGTCAAATTGGGGGTGAGTATACCATTCCCATCCTCATTTCCGTTAACCATTTTTCCTCCATCCCCACTTTCATTGGGAAATGGGTTCCCTGACCCACCCCATAACAGGAAAAAAAAAATTTAAACAAAAAAATAACCAATAAAAAAAATACTTTGTTGAATGAGAAAACAGCACTATGAGCACAACATATCTATCAATTCAATTTTTATTAACTAAAATCTAAGACTGTTTAAAAAATAATTAATACATGTCAAAACTACATGTCCAAGACATCATCATTATAGAGGTAGAACACCATATCCGAAAAATTCCTCCCATCATCATACCCGTTTTTCATCCTTCATACCTGACCCATAGGATCGAAGCCCTGCAAAGACCCTTACCAATTGGGAAGACTGCCATCCCTAGTAGTAAATTGAAATTTCAAAAGATATAGTTGGCATACCATAAGTGTTCATAGATTGATGAACAAAGGGGAGGACACGTGGCGCTAAATCATGGCAGAGGTCCATGGGTTTAGATTTTGTTTCTTTCACCATCATGGAGCTTTCCTTTGTGTCTCCAATCAAAAGCCTGTACGAGTTGCCTGCCAAACCTTGCTGCCTTAGACATCTTTCTAGCTTCTTTGGCCTCAGCCACACCCAGTTCAGCACCCTCCATGCCCATGTAATTATTACGCTCGCCCAAACAACACGTAGTGCAACACTGGCCACAACTGATACTTCCATTTGTGTGTGTGTGTGTGTGTGTGTGTGTGTGAGAGAGAGAGAGAGAGAGAGAGAGAGATAGAATGAGGACTTGTTTGGAAAGGAGCTAGGAAATGGGTTAAATGTGTGAAACTGGAGGAACTCCTAGTCCAAGTCCATTCATTTCCTTCCACAAGTTTAGCCTGTGATTTTTTGGCTAAAAACAGAGGATCTTTGTCCTTCTCAATCATAACCAGTCACTGCTTTCTGCTGCCAGTTTTTTGTGGCTAAGTGTGGACTTGTGTGTGTACGTACGAGGTGATACTCAATAATTCTGTAGCAAACGTATTATACAGAAGTGAGTTCAGCTCTGACGCATGAAATGCATGTATTGTGGTCTTTGCGGTGCCATACACACACACATATATATATATTTTATATGATTTTCAACTTTAAGTGAGTGGTTCGTGTGACTTCTTTTCACTAGAAAAGAATGTGACATAAGAGGTGACGTTTTTTTTGAAACACAAGGGCGATAGTGTATTTATTAATGAGGAAAAAAAGTAACAAGTACAAAAATCGGGCACAAGCCCTAGAGGATTAGGCGAGTACTCTACACCGAGCGAAGCGTAGTGGTCGTCGGCTACGAAGTAGCCTACCTCCTCAACCGCAAGCGGGAGGAGGAACCTTGCCTCCGATAGAGTCCCCCCCCGTCCCCCTAGTAGCACGGCCGTAAAAACTACAAGTTACACTCCTCGTACAGGACATCAACTAGAAGATCTGGCGGTTCTTCAAACCAAGTAGTCATAGTGCCAGTATGGGAAGCATAACGTGCCAGACGATGAGCCGCTCCATTTGCAACCCGGCGGATATGGGTAAAACCATCCCCAGTGATCTGGGTTAGCAGTGCCTTAGTGTCTTCCACCACTGGGCCCACATTGGACCTATCAACAGAAGAACTTCGGATTGCTGACACGATCTGGAGAGAATCACTCTCAAAAATTGCATTATTAAAATCCCCTTCCACCGCCAAAATTGCCCCTTCGCGAGCTGCCATTGCTTCAACTTGTAAAGCTGAGAAAACATTGTCCACATGCAACGCTCTGCCCGCAACAAACTTGCCATTAGAATCGCGCACCACTATTCCCACACCCCCATATGTATTACCTGCTGTCCAAGAGCCGTCCACATTAATTTTTAGACTTCCAGCGCAAGGTTTTGTCCAAGGCTGA